ATTTTTAAGATGACAAACTTTCTGTGTAGTACAACAGGAAGCAGAGGGGTTATAAAATAATCTGATTTACTGAGCAGCACAGGCGCACCTTAACGATGCGTCATGTGATGCTTTGTCCAACATGAGGAAATGAAATCGTCACATTTAGTGTGATTTGCTTGTAGTTCAGGTCTCAGTGAAGTTTGTGCAGGAGAGCCGATAAAGTCGTCACATTACATGTAAGAAAACATTCCATCTTAAAAGCTGCAGCAGCCTTCAGAGCTGTGACAAAGCAGGAAATCCTGCAATTTCGCTGCTGAAAGTTAAATGTTTCACTTTTTCGAGCTTCTTATTATTTCATCTGTTACCAATTAAAAGGCCTCAACACCGAACACTGTCACGTCTTTTATTGTGAAAGCTGTGCAGGAACGAGTTGAAGCAAACTCTGAGAGATTTTATTTGGAGGACAGGAGATTGTCCATGTGTGGACGCAGATGTACAGGCTGATGGAGAGACTCTCTGATGGACAGCGATCTGAATCTTCTCCAGGAGGATCCGGAGGATTAGTTTGAGTTTAGTGGTCTGAAGATGTTATTATGAAAAAAAACGTAATTTTAAATTTTTTGGTATAATTATGTGTGTGCAATTTCTTTAGCACAGCGTACTGATCCCAGTGAAGTCACAGAGTAGAGCCACTGCTCCTCCACATCGAAAGGAGCCAGTTGAGGTGGTTCGGGCATCTGACAAGGATGCCTCCTGGGCGAGGTTTTCCAGGCAGGTCCCATCGGGAGGAGGCCCCGGGGCAGACCCAGAGAGACCCAGTCTCTCAACTGGCCTGGGAACGCCTTGGTGATCCCCCGGACAAGCTGGAGGAGGTGGCTGGGGAGAGGGAGGTCTGGGCTTCTCTGCTTGGGCTGCTGCCCCCGCGACCCGGCCCCGGATAAGCAGAAGAAAATGGATGGATGGTCTGAAGATCACTTTGGGCCTTTCTTTTCAAGGTCTTTCCTCCACACCCCCTCCCTGCACCTCCAGTGATGGAGTATGGAGTATTCCTGTATTTTCTCCATCCTCACCTCCTTTAAAATTCTTCCACATGTGGTGAAAATGAAGGAACTCTGCTGTTTTAATTCTTTACCTTCTTCTTATCGTTTATCAATCCCCCTCCTGATGGAGAATATCTTCTTCAAGGAATAGTTGGCAGGGGAGAGAGGAGGAGGAGGAGAGGGGTGTCTGAGGTAGTGAAGCGAGGCAATTTGCAAAGTGGAACTAATCCCAGCTCTTTCTTCTGTGTTCGACATACCACACACACCGCTGCTGCAGCGCCGCTGAAGGCAAATCCTCCGCTTTGCCGTCTCGCCCGAAGAAAGACGAGAAGATCGATATCAGAGAAGTTCACAGATTCAGCTGATGACAGGGAAATCACACACTTTCATCCTACAGCTGAGATAGACGCTGAGATGTGGGAAGGGGGCTGATTTTACGCTGTGATTGGATTGGCCACCTGATCTATGCTTTAGCAAAAAGGAAAGTGTGAAGACTAATCTGAAAAGCAGAGATAGTGTCTGTCTCCCGAATCCAAATTGGAAGCTGGTTCCACAGAGTAGGGTCCTGAAAACTGAAGCTCTGCATCCCATTCTACTTGAAAATACTCTAGGAACAACAAGTAAGCCTGCAGTCTGAGAGTGAAGTGCTTTAATGGGGTGATATGGTACTGTAAGGTCATTAAGATAAGATGTGTCCGGATTATTCAGCAGGAGCAGGATTTTAAATTCTGGATTTAACAGGGAGCCAATGAGGGGATCTGAGGAGAAACGTGCGTGTTTTTATCTTTGGAAGTTGGTTTGTGGGTGTGAGATCCACTCGTTTACTCTGTCGATCACTGAGGCCATCAAATAAATGAAGTTGGCACAATGCATCGGAAAAAAATCCCAGAAACAGGATGTGGGGCCAAACTAAATCAAACACGCACACAGGTGGCTGAGCATGCCTGCACACTGAGTGAGATCATTTCTATTAATGTACACACACTCTGTCCCCGTGTGTGTGTGTGTGTGTGTGGTTACAAGAGAAAGAGAGAGGGCAGAGAAAGCCATCCATCCAATGATTACTGTAAATACACTGCTACAGAGCACATACACACACACACATACTCACGCACACGGGCGGTCAGTGTGTATTGTCAGAGTGATAAATCACAGCAGACTTTAAGTGAATTAGTGCAGCAGCTTTAACTCTCCTTCCTACGCTCCCTCGCTCTCTCTCTGTCATTTCTAATGTCTCTCTATCTCCCTCGCTCCCCCCTCAGCATCTTCTCTGCACTCTCCTCAGACCTCCATACATCACAGGCCTTAACGAGGCCTCATCCGCTAACGAGCAATCAGAGAGTATTAGACCAATTAGAGCCTTAATTAGACTGAAGGAGAGAAGGAAGAGGAGGAGCCACGTAAATGATGTAGCCTCACCTCCATACACCTGTAGTGATTGACAGCTGGGGTGTCCTGTTGTCATTGGTTCATCTGCTCTGTGTGTCCATTGTCATGTATCTGCATGTTAAGCCACGCCCCCTTAATAAACTTAATAAACTCCTTGCTTCCCACAATGATTATGTCTCTACCTTCCTCCCCCAACTCTCCTTCCCTTTAATCATTTAATCTCTTCCTCTCTCTCTCCCCCCTCAGCGAGCCCCCACGCTCCCCCTTCCAGCCTCCACTTCTCCTCCTCCCCCATCCTGCAGCAGCCTGGCTCCTACTTCTCCCACCCAGCCATCAGGTATCACCCGCAGGAGACGCTCAAGGAGTTCGTCCAGCTGGTCTGTCCTGACTCCGCCCAGCAGGCCGGACAGGTGGGCTTCCTCAACGTAAGCACGCACAGAGACACAGACACATGCACGCACACACACATGTACACACACACAAACACATCTGAGCTGGGTTTTCCAGCCTCTGCAAAGGTGGGATTTGTTTGCAAAAGTGCTGCAGTGTGTGTGTGTGTGTGTGTGTGTGCCTGTGTGTGTGGCCTTTGTACTGCAGTGAGATAGTTGATATATCTAAGTCTAGACACTGAATCAATACACCTTCCACACACACACACACAGGCAGACACACACACAGGCTCAGACACACAAACACAAACACAGAGCATCTGCTTTCCGTTTTTCCTACATGTTGGCCCGACTGCAGGGCGATCCCGATTGGAAGGCCGAGCCGCCTCTAACTTAACCTTAACCCCCGAGCACTCGTTCTCTGCCTGGTGTCGACTGGATGAAACAGCTGATCTTTTTCTAATCGTTACTAAGAACCGATTAAAATTGCGCGATAGTCACACTGAAATTTGTTGGAAACTGAAAGCATATTTTGTTTTGTTTTTTAACCTGGATAAAAACCAGGGAAAAAAAGCAGCCCGTGTCCTGTTTGAACACTTTGTCAGCTTTGCATTTCAAAAAATTAAAACCCATCATGTCAAATTTCTCAAATTCTAAAATGCGATGTTTGGGACAAAAAAAAAAAACTCACAACCTCACACGCACACAGATACAGCCGCTGGGAGGAGTGTTTCCACTATAGACACGCCCCTTTCACTTAATTGCAGAGTGTCACCAAGAGATGGGGCTTTCTTCCAAAAACCCTTGACCTGGATCGTTAGCTACAGATGGTTTTCTCACTTTTAACGTCGGGTCTTTGCTTTATACTCTAAAGCTCGCTGAGGCCACTGTTGTAAATAAAACTGAATTGAATTTGACATTCTTTGATAGCTGTCGCTGTAAAACTCTTTACCCATTAAAATATAAAAACTTTAATTTTTAAAAATGTAAAATAAAGGATAAAACTTCACAGTCTATTTGGCCATCCAGACGTTTTATACTGCAGATCACTAAAACTGTTTCCAGTAAAGTTCTTCATTTATCCATTTCAATCTAATCTAATAAATAAATAAAAATTTTTTAAAAAGAAATAAGCTTCCTCATAGATCCCAAACCAGATGTGGAGGTGATTTCTGAGACTGGTACATCTTCATTTATCATTTATTCTGTTGCCTTTTCAGACCTCTGTTTGAATTATAAGCGCATCCTTCATTGTTTCTGTTAAGTTGCAGCTTAATATTCTCATTCATTCTTTAGATTTCTTTAAACTCTCATGTTGTGCAAAAGTCTTGAGCGAAATGTAATTCCTCTATAGTTTGTATAAGAGAGGCCGGACTTTCACCTGCCCTCCAGGCTGTATGATGGTTCCAGAATTGTCCTTTGGACATCCTCGTACCTGAGATGGGGATGTTTATGAAAGTTTATCAGAATAGTGTTACCTTGATGGATGTGCGTGGGTGTGTAACTCTTATCAGCTGAGTTGTCCAGGGGCTGGGATGATGTCTTTGGAAATGTGCGACATAAGCAAACAAACAAAGCAACCTCATGGTGCCTTCCATAAAACAGGACATCAGAAGACTGCCAAAGAAATGGAGTGCAGAAATGGAGTGTGTAAATTTTAATAAATGTAAGGTTTTCCTGTTTGATCTTCAGTTTCTGTTGAAAATCTTTGTTTCAAAGAGGAGAGACGCACTTTCACAGTTACTCCAAGATAAAACGAGTAATATTCTGATGTCAGAGTTTTCATGTACGCGGCGCTGCACTGAAATCTGTTTCTCTAAATGAGCGGCCTGACTAAACTAAACATACATGTTCCGTCACGTCATTGCACCAAGTAGAAATTACTTCTGCATGTTGTTAATTTACACTCTGGTATCATTTTTATGTATGCAAACTTTAAAAACAGGATTTCAACATTTGTAAAAATCTAAATGCAACCTTATGTGATGAAATTTATTAAAGGACACGGCGGTGGCGTTCAAACATCGCAGAGATGGGGGGTTGCTGCTTGTCTGTAGGAGGCTCGGAGCACGACAGTTGAACAACAAGCACTAAAATGAGAAAAGTGAAAAGTCCGGGAATATACAAAGAAAATGATTCCTGTTCTCACACGTGTTCGTGAGTTCAAATCACAGTCTGCGTTCTCGCTCACCTGTCTGTAAACGTTGGCGCTAAAATTCCTGCAGTGATTTATCACAGATGTGCAGAGCGCTGAAGGAGAGTTAAAAAATAGAAGCGGTTCACAGCTGCAGTTTACTGCACTTTAAATCCAGACATTATTAGTAAAACTACTGTTAATATATTTAACAAACTGTGTTATTAAAGTGTTTATTTATGTATCCATCATCAGGATTCTAATAAATTCAATAATTGCAGTGAAAAAGCAGCTTTAAATGCTCAGGACTCATCAGTACTGAAGGTCAACGCTATGATTCTCCTTCTAATTCTAGGATCTATGAACAAATTGAAAACGGTCTCGTGTAACAAGCTTGTAAATGAATGCGCCTCCACCCTGCTCCCCCTGATGGATACACAAGACATTACAACTGATTTTCCTAAATGCTGCTTAGAGGTCTTACTACCCGATGTTGTGTTGTCCCCGTCATAGGCGGAGATATCATTACGGTCCCTCAGGGAGTCAGTCAAACTGATCAGAGAGTCCAATCACAGTAAATAAAGAGTAAAGTCAGAGGAGAGCAGCCAATCAGATGGCTCCACGTCTGAGGAGCAGAGCTGAGTAGGTGTCCCGGTGTCTTACTGATTTTAATCCCTCCTGGGTCCTTGCTCTTTGTTATGGTCAGTTTTCTTTGAAGGCAAACATATTTGTCCCTTTCTTTTTTCCCACTTCTTTGTATGTTTCTTCACATCCACTCTTATCGCCCTGCTGTCTGTCAGTCTTCGTATTAAGGTGTAGATTATTGTTCTGATAAATTCAATAATTGCAGTGAAAAAGTAGCTGGAAATGCTCAAGAGGACTCGTCGGTACTGAACAGACCAATCACAGTGGTTTGGGCTGCGTTAACGCAGCGTTTCCAGGAAGGTTTCAGAAGGGTTTTGTGTTTGCGACGTACCTGCAGCATTGATTTAACACTGAAGCACCTGCACGTCCTTCTTGGGCTAAAAGCAGGAGGAATTCTGTGTACAGGTGTTTTGGATCATCATTTTATGGATGAGAACAAAATTAAACCAACATGTCCTTCTGACTGATGGAAGCAAAGACGCACGTCTTTACTGCACTGACAGGACAGATATTTCATGCTTTGTGAGAGATGGTTCTTCACTTCCAGGCAGGTCTGTCACAGCAGTTTTTGCTGCATGTTCAGCCCAGGGGAGTAATTTGCAGGGGGGTTACAGGGGTAACCCTTACCCTAAACCATAACCTAACTGTAACGCTGACACTAAAACCACATTTTGAATCTCAAAAATCCCTTCAAACACACACACACACTCTCACACACACGCACACTGTCACACAGTCTCACTCTCACACACTCTCAGACACTCTGTCTCTCTCTCTCTTTCTCACACACACACACACAACACACACTGAGAGGACGAGCTGTGACCGACCTGTTGATGTTTCTTTACAGAATATCGTTCACATATTCTAACTGTGTCCCCCCCACCTCTTCAGCCTAATGGTAGCTCCCAGGGAAAGGTCCACAACCCTTTCCTGCCGACGCCCATGCTGCCTCCCCCACCGCCTCCTCCGATGGCCCGTCCCGTCCCACTGCCTGTTGACGCCAAGCCGCCCTCCACCTCCTCCACTGAGGGAGGAGGAAACTCACCCACCTCACCCAGTGAGTGTGCGCGCACACACACATGGCAGATTTAAGTACCATCACGCATCACTTCTGCGTGTTTAAACTGGATTTTCCTGCTGGCTGTCACGCCCCCACACAAAAGGAACGACGCATCAGGGTTCAGTTATTAATCTGATATTTAGTTCTCGTGTAATCTGTGAGAAGTGATTTGTGATTGGATTATTTCTGACTGCAGGGTTCAGTGACGCTTCCTGTCTTTTGGCGAAAACAGATGCAGTCACTGCCAAAATATTTAATCCTCCTAATACTCATCAACGACACATGGAGACACTGAAGTTTCTTTGTATTTATTACTGATGTTTTTGCTTGATGTGTTTGTCATCTGTCTGACCTACTTCTTCTAAATAACTCTGTCAAGTCTTTCAAAACTTTATTAACAACGGCGTAGAAAATATAAACTTTCAAATCAGGTTCCTCTGAATCTAACTTGATTTGGGTCTGAATTTAAGGAGATAAGGAGATTGAATTTACAGTGTATCAGAGCTCTGTCAGGTCATCGTGTGTTAATAACGGGCCTGTGTGTTTGTTGTGCAGCCTACTCCACCCCCACCACGTCTCCAGCTCAGCGGTTCGTCAGCGTCGGACCTCGGGACCCCGGCTTTAACATCCCTCAGCAACCACAGGTAACCAACAAACACAGGTCTGTCAGCTGCAAACATGTTTACAAACAT